TCCAGCAAACTCTAGTTAGTCCTTATTGACATAGCTTGTGGGCAGTGTCTGTAGAAGAGCCAAAGATTGAACAATACATGGAGACTGATTCGGGTGGTTGCTCTAGATGGGAAGTGATGCATGTTGGTGCAGTGAAGTAAGATAGCAAACCATTCCTCTCCTGGAGTCTGATCCAGCTCCTTTTAGAGTCAGTGGGAATTGTCCTGTTGACTGCAGCGGGACTTGAAACAGATTTCCAATACCAGTGTGTTTCTTGGAGGTTGAAGGAAGCTTCCCTGAAATGGGACTGCAGCTTACTTATCTCATGTACAGCAACCAGTAGATGCCATTGTTAGTCCAAGGCTTGGGCTCCTCTTGGGACAGATTGCAGACTTTACTCTTCATGTTCCCTTCCCCAGTGCTACAATTACTTCATTTTGTAAATCAGTGCTTGTCTTCACAGGCTCACAGCATGACATTTCTTTTGATTGTTTGTGTAGTTTTTAGTTTCACAACTAAAGAACAAAAAACACTTTTAGCTCTTATTTTAAAAACTAATTTTTTTCTGGGAAGCAAAAGGCAGCCAAAGACACACAGTACTGAATAAGTCCAATTATGCTGCATTCTTGTGGTTGAATAAGACACAGAGCAACTAAAACAAACTAACATAAACAGGGGAAGCCAAATTAAATACTTACGTTTGTATAGGGCAAGAGGATCTTGCCTTGGAATGTAATTCAAGCTTGATTTATTTTTTAAATAGACAGTGCATAAAATAGTTCAAGATCTAGCCAATGCAACTTGAACTGAATATTTTTTCATCAGGTAAAAAATCAACTAATAAGATATTTCAGATTAACTTAAATCTTTGCTCATTACATAAATTGACACATCTAAAGAAAGCATTGTACAATCAATCATGGCTTTTTATAATGCAAAATCAAATTATCAAATGGAGACCTGATGCCAAATGGATGGGGGAAGAGAGAGGGAGAAGGAGAGAGAGAACACATACAGTTTGCACAGCACTGGAAGTGTGAAGTCCTTCTTGAAGCAAAAATGAACGTGGTATGCAAGGAATGCAGATGTTTATCTATATATCATTGCCACTGGGGCTTCACACAGTCCTCCTTTTAATTGTGCCACAGAAGAGCTTTTGGATTTTTACAGAACAGATCTGACCTTCACATTGCTTCCTATTTGAATGTGCTTTTTGCAAAAGAAAATAAATGAAAATGTAGGTATAGCATGATGTGGACATTAAGAAATGGATATGCAAGGGGTCAGCACAATGTATGGTAGCTAAGGATTTCTTCATTTTTTTTTCTGAAAGTAGCAGAATTTACTGGCTTCAAGCTGTGGTTTTTGCTCTGCTCTCTGTGGTCTGTTTGGTACTGGCTGGTGGTCATCAGCTGTCTGTAGGACCGTTTCTTCTCATCTTTTCTTGATTCACGGTATCCCTCAGAAAATGCCAGCTCTTAGATTTCACTAATTTTTTGACTCTGGAAAAATAATACAGCAATTTCTTTGTTGCAGAGAACTCGGAAGGAACACAATAGGTCAGAATGTTTTTGACACTAGAAAGTCCTATTTAAAATTTCCGGGTTTATTTTGTGAATCATGTGCAGGAGTTTGCACATATAATGGTGCTTATAGTGAGTAGCAGCTCCTGAAAAAGGATCTTACAGCACTCCAGGGTGCCATAGCTGAGAAACTTTGTCATAGAGGCTATGACAATTTAACCTTAATTCAACATAGCAACTGGAGCTGCAGCCAGCTGGGAAGGACCCTGTCCCTGCGGCCTGGCCTGGCTCCATCATCTGCTCATCTTGCCTGGGGTTGGGGCTGTGGGACTGAGCTGGGGCAAACAGCAGTGGTGGTGGGGCTGGGAGGGGTGGCTATGAGGGGCTAAGTGGCGGCTGTGCTAGGAAGAGTTTGGGGGGCCACAGCTACCCAAAAATTCACCTTAGCCCCCATAGCCACCCCTCCTAGCCCTGCCGCTGCCACCACTCACCCTACACAGGCTGCGGCAGCTCTGCCTGCCCCACTCCCATCCACAGCACACTCCTCTCTCAGCCCCGCCACCAGGAAGAGGCTTGCGCTGCCCAGCCAGACTCCAGCCGGCATGGTCCCCTAAGGGAAAGGGAGCAGGGAGAAGGTTTATTCCTCTTTCTCCTTGAAGGACCCAGCCGGGTCTGCCTGGCTGGGGTTGCGTGGGGGTGAGCAATGGAGGCAGCAGCTGGGGCTGGCAGACCCCTGCTGGGGTCCTTCAGTGGGAAAGGAGAGGGAGGGGGGACTAAACCCCCCCTCTGCCCCATTTGCCTTAGGTGGCTATGCCAGCCGGCTTTTTGCCATGCCCCCCGCCCTTGAGAGCAGAGGGGCAGGGCCAGCCCTGCTCTCTGGAGCAGACAGCACAGCCCAGCCTAGGGCTGCAAAGCATGCTGGGATGTTGGGGGACTCTGATTTAACTTAAATCAGGAAGGGGCCTGGGACAGCATTTCCATAAACTGGTTTGACCTCAATCAGTCAAATCTGATACTGCTTTCAACCAGGTTGATCTTAAACCAGTTTCAGCCATTTTTAAACTAGTTTATGTGCACTGAGCTTCTGTTCTGTTACATGTTTAAACCAGTTTCTGATCACTTAAACCAGTTTATGTGTAACTACTGTCCCTAGTCATGGTCACACGCAAAATGGAAGGTGAACTATGGTCTTCATTAAGGACTAGTCTATCTGAGAACCTCTGCTGTTGGTGATTTGATTAGTATTTTCAGAGTGGCTATTTGTAGGGAAGAAAACCAAGGACTGATTTGGTTCTTTATTACAGTAATTCCTGAGCAATGAGTGTTCATCGATGTCAATGGATTCACCTCAGAATTACTGTGGTAATAGAGTATGGAGTTTGTCCAAAGTCTGTGTCAAAACTACAAATATTAATGCTGATGTGGCTGGATTTAAATATACTTTTTAATTGAAGTCATTGAACTGTCTTATCTTGTCCATATTGCAAGCCAGTCATTGCTAAAAATTTGTAATAGGCCTTTTAAATTCTTTTGTTAATGGTTACCACAGAAGACGTCCCAGACATTCAGTATCCTGTTTTGGAGCCTGTATCCTGAAGTTCTTACTGAAGCAAAATTCTCCTTGACTTTACATAAATTAGCCCCGTATGGGAGTTCGGCCAGAGCAATGCTATGGAACATGGCCTGGATCTGCTGTTTATTTACTAGGATTTCCAAGATCAAACACAAAATTTCAACATCCCTAATTATGTCAATGTATCACAGTCCAACAGAGGAGATCTCCCCCCTGTTTTTCTTTTTCCCATTTTTCCTCTTTCTGTCTATTCTCTCCCTCTTACATTCTCTCCCTCCCAGAGTTGTTTATGGAATTTTCTTTCATCATTTTGGCAGATCATATGGCAGGACAAGTCCTTCTGAAATCCTAAACCAAATCACTGGCTGGAATTTTCCTTTTAGCATTTTTTGGTTTAAGACCCAGTCTTGCACACATTCACTACATGAAAGGTTACCAAACATGGGTTTGGCTTATGCCATTTATACCAGCATTATGTTGTAATCCCTCTGCAATTTGCTGATCCATGTTGCCCCATTTCCTGTTTTTGGGATCTGTAAACCAAATGTCAGAATTTTATTGTCTGAGGCCACGGCTTTCAAAATTGGGAGCCAGCTGTAAATAGTCAAGTTTCTATTTAGACACCTATATAAATGGCCAATTTTTCATAAAACAGTTCCTAGTGGCATCAGTGGGGTCACAAGGTGTTCAGAACTTTTTAAAAATGGGACTGCTTATTTAGGTGCCAAGGCATCCACTGTTTGAAATTCATGGATTCTGCATATAAAAAAGGATTCACAGCTCTTTACATTATTCATTATCTCCTCATAGTATTTTTATATGGATGGTTTCTTAGCCCATACTTACCAGCAAATAAGGAACTATTCTGATCATACTGGCATATACTGTTCTCTGTCTTCTGAAGCCAGCCATAGTGTCCATACTCTTGTTCTACAGTGATAATGGGAGTCAGACCCTAAGGGTGTTTATACACATGTTTGGGGGGGGCAGGAGCACTTTAATGAGAGCGGCTCTTGGAGCCACTCTAATTAAAACGCTCTGAGTGTCACATGTATCAGAGTCCCCAGACTGAAAAATGGCAGCGGGGGCACTTTAACTAAAACTCAATGCTTTATCTAAAGCTCATTGAACTATGTATTGGTTATAAACATCACTAGGTGTTCAGGACTTTTAAAAAATGGAGCTGCTTGAACTAACTTTAGTTAAAGCGCCCCCGTTGACATTTCTGAGCCCAGGGACGCTGATACACATGATGCTGGAGTCTGCTGGAGCACAGTAATTACCATGCTCCAACTGATTCAGTTAAGTGAGTCTGCTCCACCTCGCTGCACATGTATAGGTGCCCTAAGTGATTCATGTTGGGATAATGAATCATGGTCAGATAGAGTGGCCATTGGTCCTATTTTATATCGGACTGTCCTGTTTTTAAACCGTACATCCCCCTCCATTCCTGAATGAGGCCTGGACTGAAAAAAGTCTTGTTTTTCAGTTCATTGGTGGAAATACATGGCAGTGATTTGTCCTTGCAGTTCTCTTGGCTGTGCCTAGAGGTAGGGCAGTGCAGAGCCAGGAGGAGCAGGGTTTTAAGCCAGCCAGGGAGAAATGGAGAAGGGAGCCTTTTCTGTGGTGGCCCTGCCCCTTGGCTCTGATTGGCCAAGGGGCCCAGTCACCCCACCTCTCACTGGTGATTAGCCAAGGGGGACAGTGGTCTTGCCCCTCACCAAGGGGGTGGCCTGTATCCTGGAGATGTCAGTGGCTACGCTAGGGTCAGAGTTTGAGGTAGAACCCTGTGGCCCTGACTTGTGCTACCTCTAACCAGTAAATGGCATGCCTTTGATTTATTAGATATAATAGTACCTCTCTCACTGGGCAGTTCCCAAATAAATTATTCATTTGATACATGCCATTTTTGTGTGTGTTAGCAGAATGTGCAACTTAACCAATGCCCAAGGAGAAGACAAGAGAACAGCTGGGCCTGAGGCTGTGGAGGACTCAGAGCGGGAGTGCTATATTCTGTGCAAGGTAATGGAAAACTTTACTGTTCTTACTGTTTTGGTGTTGAGTAATTTGAGCTGTACAGTTATTTTTATTCCCTTCTGTTTACATTCTTGGTGCCCTTTTCTGATTTTTTTCCCTACATATATGTGCTTATTGTCCTATCTTAAGGGATACTAGGCAGAATTTTGCTGGAAAAAAAATTGTAGCACAGGCAAATGCAGATTACAGATAACTGTTTTTGCAAGAGTTCTGTAGTTACACTTCTATTTTCTGCATTAATCCACTTTCCATGCCCTCTGTATTTTCTGTTTATGTGCACCTGCTTCCTAATTAAACTATTCACCAGCATTGGATTTAACACCAGTCTACTGTAGTGCAGCTATTAACCCTTTCAACCGCTTCTGCCCTTCATACCACAGACCCATGTGGAGAGGTGGCAAATGAATGAAAAACCTAGGGACTCAGTCCTCATCCATGTGGGGCTGATATTGGTACAATGGAGAAGAGCAAGAGGAAGAGCTCTGGAAGATGTTACATTTGTGACACAATTAAAATGTACCATGTTGTACCATAGCACCTGTAACATGCGAGGCGTTTAGCCAATTTATGGTGCAATAAAATGGCAAACCAGACAGATATTTTTCTACATTAAATGTGGAACAACTTTGTGGATAGTTTGTATCTGCTTTAAACTGATCATGTGGCTTGTATCCCAGACCAAGATTGTGAGAATGGGTATGGGGGTGCCTTGGGGTTTGGAACAGAGATGGGATCAGGCAGAGGGCAGGCCCAGGTCTCAAACTGGGACATGGCTGCCACCAGCCTGATCCCTGGACCCAGTCCTCATGCCAGTCTCTTGGTGTGTGGTCCTTCAAAGGGCACTCCAGGGAGCATGGAATCAGGGACAGGTTCCTGATGCCACACGTCCTGAAGCACTGTTTAAAAGTCCAAGTGCTGGGAGATTAGCATGGGGGACAGATCCTCTATGCTAGGCTCCTTGTGCTGGTGGATGTGTGATTTGGATCTGAGGAATATTATACCCGATCCCTAAAATCATGTATCCTGCTGCGCATGTCTGTCATGGCAGGACACACAACTTTCAGGATCAGGCATAAAATACCTTAGAATCACAGGCCGCATCTACACAAGATGCTGATTTTCCACTTGTTATTGCACAGTCATTTAGTACTTGCATACACAAGTAGTAAATGACTGTGCAGTACCTGGAGTAACTGAGCAGTAGCATCTCCAAATGGATTTTAGGTGACAGTGACTGGACAGTAGCTCATTCCTACTGCTCAGTAGCATTGCATCACGCTTCACGCCATGCAACACTACTGCGCAGGAATAAGAAGCTACTGCACAGTCAGTGTTTCATGTAGATGTGGCCATACATTCCTATTACCATCTGCCAGGGGCCAAAGATTAATCTAAGCAGTCTTTCTTTTTCCCCAACCCCTAGTGAGACAGGGGCTGACATTGCTTCTTGCCCAGCTTAGATCAGCCTCAGGATTGACGTAAACTATACCAGCTCCTGTCCTCAGCTCTGCTAGGCAAGTATCAGACAGTGTAGTGTGTGGTCTGCTAGCACACCTTCTATTCCATCTCCTCCCCCCTCTAAAAACTCCTGACAGGCTCCCTATGTGGAAGGAGCATAGATAGGTTGCATAATCTTAAGATCTGTCTGTGCTGGGGAACCTTTGGTAACTTTCCAGTTGCTTTGTGCTGCCATAACTATGGAAAGCATCTGAAAAAGCCCTGAGAGTTTCAAATATGATCATATTAGGCAGGAGCCTAAAGTCCAGTCGGTGGAATGCAGCAAGATTTTATTAACTACTGGGGATTTTCATATGATTCCTTTCATATGATTTCAAATGACTCCTCCTTTCATATCCAGCGGTAAGCACACCATTTTCTTTCTTTCTTCTTTTCTTTTGGAAACCAGACAATCTCTGATTCTAATACAAGGATATGGAAAATGTCGACTATTTGACAACCGAGCCTGCCCTGCTGTATGGCGTATTACCTAATTGGAAACTACTCTTGATAAATTTTGAGACTTCACCCAAATGAATTATTCACCTGGTGGGTGGAGTGACATTAATTATGATGCAGCAGACCTGAGGTCACTGCATCTCTTCCCAATGTGTGGTCTCTGAATAATATGGAAGCCTGTGAGTCCCTGAGGCAGCGATCTCTTTGTGAAAGAATTTAAGAAAAGAGAATCTCCACTCCAGCTAATATCTGCTATGTTTTTCTCTTGCATCCTTGAAGAATCTATTCAGTACTTTCATACAAGTAACTGATGGTCCTGGGATGAAGTGCAAACAGGATTTTACCAGACAACATCCTCTTAACAGCCTTAAGTGGAAAGACAGCATGCAGAGAAGGAAGGGATATACATTGTCACTGTTATCTTGTGGGGAGCATTCAGAAGTCGGATAATGTAGAATCTTGACTCCAACATTTTTGGGGCGTGTAAATATAACCTCTAAAGTCCATCTATAGGTATTGTAAAATGGTCTGATTTTCAGCAGTAACTACCTATAAATCAAACTTAAGCCTATGGTAATTACATGTACTTGGCACTCTTGAAATTAGACCACTTTTAATTTGGTGCCTAAATGTAGATTTAGGAGCCCGATTTTAGGTGTGCAAGTTTGAAGATGTCGGTTCCGGTCTGGTCAACATATTGTAGAATCATAAATCAGAGAAGCAAAGATTGCTCCACCTTTTAATTTCTGTCACAGATGTAGTGTGAGGCAGGTAGGCCTGCATCTAAAAACTGAAACCTCCAAATTGTGAGATTAGAAGGAAATAAAAACACACACACAAAAAAAAATGTTTTAACTTGTTTAAGTTAAAGTATAACTTTCCAATAGATTTTGTGTGCCAACACAATGACAATTCTGTTGAAATTCCTCTGTAATGAATCTGTCTCTCAAAATGGAATTGTTTTGTTCCTCTCCAGGTATAATAGGGGAACTCTAGAATTAATGATTTTATTTCTAACTTTTGGTTAGTTTATATTTTATAATTATTTCTGAGTCAGGACTTTTTAGGATGGATAAAGTATACATTCAAGACCTTTGATGTCTCAAAATACCTACTGACTTTCTGAGGTGAAGGGTTTTTTTTCTTTTGATCTCTGGATTTTCATTTCTAATAACTGAGGTTACTGGAATGGAATTGTTCCTTGTTTGCATAAAAATGACTTAATTATTCCAGTGATGGTCTGGTGATGCCAGTTGACCTTGGATCATGGGCAACTGGTGCCACCTGAGTTGGGGCGGGGTGGGGGGCACATGCCCCACCCCCCCAGTGGCCAGTCAGCAACTGTCCCCTGTGGCCGATCTTGCCGATGGGGAGCGGGGGCATCCCCTGCAGTTGATCTCACTGACCAGTAAGCATGAATGGTGTTCCTGGATTGCCAGCGGCACTTCACCCCCGTGCACTCCCTACATGTCACCACTGCCTTGGATGGTCACTCCATTCTTGTTTGTCAGAAGTCTTGTCCCCATCTTCCAAAACTTGATGAAAGGAAGAAACCGTGCTGCTGACGTGCTTGCTTTTGGCTTCAGAGAAACCTGTGCTTCTTCTGCATTCCTAGGTGGTCACTAACATGCAGCTAGCTAGCAGATCTTCCTGTTAAACCTCAGAGTCTTTTATGACCACCAGCTAAGCTTTTCAACCTTGTACTGGCTTTGTAAAGCTGAGTGAAACCACAACAGTCTCAAGAGCTATCCTACATAACCATTTTTTTGTTTTGTTTTGTTTTGTTTTTCAGTTTTTATTTGAAGAGGGGCATGTCTACCTCAGCACTTTTGCATTTGTTTTTAACTCCAGCAGATGGCTAGTAGTCTGCGTTGAGGAGGCATGGGAGATGTGTCTACAGAAATGTATTTAGTTAGAACATATAACATATATTTAAGAATAGTTCTTTGTATACCTAAAAGAGACCAAAGTTAAACAACTTTTCTAAAAGATTGCACAAGTTTCTAGGTTTTGAACCAGAGAAAATAAAAGCTAGTTTTGTAACCCACCTAGCATTGGTCTGATAGGTATCTATGTTAGCTGCCATGTTAGTCTTTCTGCAACGTGTGCCTGAACTGTAATACTTTCAGGAAATTTGACTCATGAATTGATAATTTCTTATGAAAACCATTGTGAAATCCAGAATCCTTGAAAGCCTAATGTTGTGGGTGAGTGTTGGTCAACCTAATGACTGACCAGTTACCCATAATAGGACTGTACTTCTCGCATCAGTTGCTCATTTTCTGATTTATTTGACATCATCCCATTTGGACTTGCTTCTCATCTTTCAATTGGGTATCCATGGTTCATCTTTTTTCCATGTCTTGGGGTTTAGATTTTCTGAAATCAGAACCATGCACTCTGTATACATTCAAGCCCTGTTATAACACTCCCACAATTACAGGTTTATTTTCTTAGAGTTTAGCAATTCAAACTGATGGGTACCCTTTGAAATTGCTTACTCATAAGAAAACCTGAATTTAGACAGAGCCTAAGCTTTGTGGTGGTCTTGTCAAGCTGGTTGTATGCAGAGTATTTTCACATTAACAGGGCTGAAGAAGCAGGATGTATATACTATGCATATTTAAGGTAATGTTCTAGAAATTGACACATGATAAGGAAAGAAAAACCTTGTGAATACCCAGTTTTTAAATTGATATAAATGTATCAACAAGGGGAGGGATTTTCCCCAAAATTATACTGGTACAATCCTTGCTATATATGCAATTACAGTGGTAACAATCGGACGTATTCCACTCCCCATATAAGATTAAGTTGTAGCAACACAAGCATATTTATAATACAATTGTAGCCATGCTAGAGGGGTTTTCCTCTTTTAAATCTACCATTATAATTTACTCTACCGGTACAATTTGTATTTTGAGAAGCCTTTTTAAGTGAATTCCAGGGCTTGTGGACACCTTCAGTTTTGGTCTGCAAGAATCTTATACATAATTGTACTCAAGATTGAATTTCTGTCAAATGTATTG